AGTGGAAGAGGCAGACAGGAAGATCCCAGGGTCTTGTTGGCCTACCAGCCAGGTGCTAACATACACACACACCACACACATAACACATATACAAAAATGCCTTCAGGCTGTATGTGTAAGTGCACATACAAAACATGAATAAATTTCATGCTTACACTGGGATACCATCTCTTAGATGTCTCGTTAGGTAAGTGCACATATTCCAAAATCAGAAAGAAAAAAAAAATTTTGAAATCCAAAGCACTTGTGTTCTCAACCATTTCTGAGAACTCTAAACTGTGTGAGTTACTCAATCGGCCAGGAACTCCGTCTCTGATCTGCACACTGAGATGTAGAAACCTGAAGCCTATGGTGGCTTTAGCTCTAGATGGGAGACTCAAAAGCACCTGGCATGTAGTGGACACAGAATAAACATTAGTTCTCTTGGGAGTTGTTACTCACTTGTGCTTTGCCTTCGTTTTGTGTTGCATTATCCTCATGAGCTAACATGCATGAACAAAAATCCCAAGACTAACATGTACTCACTATACCCACAGTGTTCACAAGGAAAACTTAGCGAGGATGTATTCATTTATTTTAGACACAGTTAAGTGGAAGAAACAAAGGCACCTCCCTGGAACCACCACAGACCAGCCTGGTTCTACCTAAGAATAAGGAAACAGTTCAGGTACTCCACCTCATTTGTACATACACATGCCAGCGGTTAATTTTAGTTATTTTTTTGTTTGTGTGTATGTGTGTGTTGTCTTGTTTTGTATGAGACAGGTTCTCAATATATAGCCCCTGCTAGCCTAGATCTTGTTATACAGGCCTGGCTGGTCTCATAGTCTTGTGACCATCTTGCTGCCTCTGCCTCCCAAGTGCTAAAATTATAGGTGTGCATCCACTTAATTAATCTTCACATATATTGTGTGATTTGGATGAGTGGTGCTGTTGTCCACTCAGACCTGTTCTGCCCAGATGAACATCTAAGGAAGTTTGTTCCCTCAGGCTCCTGCTACCTGGCCACTCTGGAGCATGGCTCCCAAGATAGGACAGGGCTAGCGACAGCCCGCCCAGAGCTAAAATCTGGGTATCAAGAATTTAATTTCAAGCTTGGCAGTAGGTTGCACATACCTTTAATCTCAGCACTCGGGAGGCAGAGCCAGGCAGATCTCTGTGAGTTTGAGGCTAGCCTGGGCTACAAAGTGAGATCTAGGACAGGCACCAAAACTACACTGAGAAACCCTGTCTTGAAAAAAAAAAAGTTTTTTGAACCTGTTGTAGTGACTTAGGCCTGTAATACCAGCTCCTGAAGAGACCAAGACTGAAGAATCACAAGTTCAAGGCAAGTCTGAGTAACTTAGAAAGACCCTTCTCAAACTATGGAGAAAAGTGTCCTGGAAAGATGGATCAGCAATTCTGAGTGCTTGACACTCTTGCAGAGGATGAGGACTCAGTTCCTAGCACCCACATCAGGCAGCTCACAACCATCTATAGCTCCAGAGGACCTAATGCCCTCTTCTGGTCTCCTCAGGCACATGTAGATACACGGCATACACTTACACAGATATATATTACAACTGAGCCAATAATTAGATATATCCCAAAATAAAGCTGTTTTTGAAGTTGGGCAGTGGTAGTGCACACCTTTAATCCCAGCACTCGGGAGGCAGAAGCAAGCAGATTTCTTGAGTTTGAGGCCAGCTTTTTCCATAGTGTGAGTTCTAGGACAGCCCCAATTACACAGAGAAACCTGGTCTAGAAAAACTAAACAAAGAGCTTTTTTTTTTTAAAAAAAAAAAAAAAACACTTAGAAATGTACTGGAGAGATGGCTCAGAAGTTAAGAGCACCAACTGCTCTTCCAGAATTCCTGAGTTCATTTCCCAGCACCCACATGGTGGCTCACAACCATCTGTAATCAGATCTGGCACCATCTTCTGTATACATAATAAATAAATAAATGATTAAAAAAACATTGAGAAAAAGGCTAGGATTGTTATATATCCTCAGTTGTAGGATGCTTGTCTAGCATACTCAAAGTCTTAAGTTCAATTCCTGGTCTCTCTCTGTCTCTCTGTCTCTGTCTTTCTTTGTCTCTCTCTGTCTCTCTCTCTCTCTCTCTCACACACACACACACAGAGGTTTTGATACAATAGTGGCTGGTTCTTAGTAGAACTGAGAGAAAATGAACCTTCCTTGAATGGAGTGCTACCCTGTGATTAACAATAATACAGTAAGTACAGTGAGACCCAACTGGACTACCCAGGGACCACCCCCTCCAGAATACAACCATCAAATCAACATCAAGGACTAATTAGTGTCTAATGTAACTGTCAGAAGCACAAGCTTTGAAGTCTGTTCAAATTCCAGCTCCACTCCAGCCCCTACACCTGGAACTTTGTGAGAGCCATGACTCCATAATTGGAAAATTCTATACTGTGAAACTGGTTTCATACAAAAGATATGAACAAACGCTACACAGAGGTCTATGAGAAGCCTCAGGGGATAGAGGTGTTTGTACCTCAAACTGACAACCTAAATTTGATTTCCAGAGTTCACAGTAGAAGACAACAGACAACTCCCAAGGATTGTCTGTGACCTCCACATGTGTCATGGACAAACTTGCCCACTCACAAAAACACATACACACGCACATTAATAATAGACAATTAAACATTTTAACAATACAAAATTATCTCCAGGCAGGGGCTGGGAGATGGTTCAGTGGGCAAAGTGCTGTGTGCAAATGTGAGGACCTTAGCATGGATCCGCAGCCCCCACATAAAGCCAGACATGGTAGTACACTGTGATCTAGTGGAAGAGGCAGACAGGAATCCCAGGGTCTTGTTGGCCAGCCAGCCACATGCTAACATACACACACACCACACACATAACACATTTACAAAAATACCTTCAGGCTGTATGTGTAAGTGCACATACAAAACATGAATAAATTTCATGATTACACTGGGATACCATGTCTAAGATATCTCATTATGTATGTGCACATATTCCAAAATCAGAAAGAAAAAAAACCCCTGAAATCCAAAGCACTTGTGTTCCCAACCATTTCTGAGAATGCATTCTGTGTGAGTTACTCAATCGGCCAGGAACTCCGTCTCTGATCTGCACACTGAGATGTAGAAACCTGAAGCCTATGGTGGCTTTAGTTCTAGATGGGAGACTCAAAAGCACCTGGCATGTACTGGACATGGAATGAACATTAGTTCTCTTCGGAGTTGTTACGTGTATTTTGCCTTCCTTATGTGTTGCGTTATCCTCATGGGCTAACATGCATGAACAAAAATCCCAAGACTAACATGTACTCACTATACCCACAGTGTTCACAAGGAAAACTTA